GTTACAGACAATGGTGCACTACAATTCTTATGTGTCTGTTAAGTCTTGGGGACTAGGTATATGATAATTCAATAAGAGACAAATGTACCGCACTTAAAATCCTTCTTCTCTTTTATATTTTAGAATTATGAGAAATGTTTACCGGAAGGAGCGACTGTAAAATGTCTTTATACTATTGGTATTGTGTTGACCCTTACCTACCACTGCCGCTGCACCTGCCCCCAAGTGTTTGGATTTGGGTATGGATTAACTGATCTCACGATAGATCCTGTCATGAATTGACATCAGAGAAAGAATCCTTAAAAACTAGAGAGTAGTGGACAGGTGTTTCTCCCTAGCTTTGAGCTCTTCAGCAGTGTATATCCAAGATCTTTAGGATATGAGATGATTTCATTGGGACAAAATTCAATGGCTCATGAATTCTAACTCCTATCAGTTTGTCTAAGAGTTTACTATTGGTGAGTATGTGTCTCCACACTCAACTAGGCGACAATCCCTATCGGTTACAATTTCTCATTAGAACTCCATAAAGTTTATCCCGCCTAGGAATCAACTTATCTTGAATTCCGTAATTAAGTTTCACCCCTCCCTCCTTCAAAACTTAGATATCTTGTTACTAACGTGAACGTTTTAAATAAGTTCATGGTGTCATTTGATGTAACCTCCTTGTTTACAATGATTCCAATCAACGAAACTATTAAGATCATTTGTCAGCAGTTTGATCTTCTTCCACTCCCAGAGTCGGAATTCAAACGCCTACTCCTTATGTGTACCATGGATGTACAATTCCAATTTGACAACACTCTTTACCGCTAAATAGATGGTGTAGCTATGGGCAGTCCACTTAGCCCTGTTTTAGCAGATATATTCATGTTCAACCTTGAAAGAACAAAGTTGAAGCATGCAATCGACGGAACAAATTCCTACTGTCGATATGTTGATGACACATTTATAGTGTGCAAAAATGAAAGTCATGCTACACACTTACTTGGATTATTCAATGATGCACATAGCAATATTGAGTTCACTATGGAACATGAAAGTGACGGAAAGTTCCACTTCCTCGACATCGCCATGGAACGCCTAGAAGACGGTAGTCTTCAAAAGTCAATTTATCGAAAGCCTACATGGAAAGGACAATACTTACATTTCAAAAGCTTTTGTCCGAATAGCTTTAAACGCGGTCTAGTCAAGACTCTGTACTATAGGGCGAGAAGAATATGCTCTATAGAGAAATTAGAGAAAGAATTTTAGTTTCTTGAAAAGACATTGAAGAGCAATGGGTACCCTCTATGGTTCATCAACAGGTATGGAAGATCTGAAGTCAAAAATGTAAAAAAATAACAGTGGAAAAAAAGCCAATCTACTTTGAGCTTGATTAAAAAGGTGAAAACATTACAGCGATGATCAACAGAAGCCTGAGTACATCACTAGCTATAGCCTATCCTGCAGCTAAGCTCGTTCCCGTCTTTCGAACAACTTGCTCTTTGGTGCAATCAAAAATCGACAGATATCCTTCTCATGTGAACTCCAACTGCATATACAAATTTACATGTATCTGCGGGAGCAGTTACATTGGAAGGAGAGAAAGAAGGGTTTATCTACGATTTTCTGAACATGTACCAAAAAGCTTACGTCTAAAGGGAACAAATTCTTTAAACAGTGCCATCACCAGGCATCTCCTCGACACGGGTCATGAGGTGGAAATCGAGAAATCCTTTAAAATTATCAATAGACAAAGGAGCTCCATTCTCCTCAAGTTTGCCGAAGCAATTTCTATCAAACGCTTCAAACCAGATTTATGTGTTCAGAAAGAAGCGGTTGTTAGTCTTTCCTTGCCATGGTAACTGGATGTCTTTATTCTCTACTCCGATTACGTAATCTTTGTCTTTAACCTCACCCCTCTTTTTTTATAATCTGTAATATTGCTTGTCTCTTGTTTCTGTGACGTGATTTGAACTCAGGACATCGTTACCAAATTTATTAGTTACTCATCATCTTACTCACCTCTCGTCTTAATTACGTAACTCCTTTACCATTGTATGCATACATTTATTTTGACTTGAACTGCCTGTGTAAAAACTATAAAAGCACAATTTTCTGAGCACTTTTTACTAATTGTGGAACTTTCTGTCAACTGACAACATGTAAAATTTGCAAGTATGTTAAAACTTTTCTGTACATCAATTTCATAATGTATTTAGGCTATGAGCAGTTGATGAGAAGCCAAAGAAATAAACAATGATGGTACCATATTATTCTGCACAAACCACTGTTGTTCTTGCTTTATTCACCAAGGGGAATAAATGCATAAAATCTATTACTTAATTGTTTTGATGACTTTTAACCTCTTAATTTCAGCCTCCCATACCTAAAACTGATCAATTAAAGTAACCACCTGATTGGTAAAACATTTCAATGTAAAAACTATATATATTAGTGTGGAGCCATCCAATAATGAGGAACAAATTCAAAAGGAATGCATATTTTTTTCGCTTAGTCTGTTTTTATTTCTAAATGCAATTTAGTTTTTCAAATTTGAGCCATTATGATACATTAACCCAGAGATGATTTTATTTATAAAACGTACAGACAAGTTCCTAAAGCCGCTTAAATATGTAGACATATAGCCAAAAAAGCACTGATATATGAATGATTCTTCTCCTATTTTAGACACATTCACCTCTAAGACAATCTTTCATTTCATCTTAAAGTAGCCGAAACTATATTTAATCACTAGTTGTATGTATCCGTTAGATTTAGGGTTTTGCGGTTGCTAAAAGCTCTGACTCGACAGATACTTCCTGCGCTTACAAGTTTGATGAAGAACTGATATTAGTTAGAGAACTACTACTGGAAAACCTGGGAGTACTGGACAACTATTTCGTTCCACTTCGGGACTCCTCATCAGTCAGGACTGACCCATTGGGGTTAGATTTGTTTTCTCACTAAAGTAGAAGACTGTACATACTTCTGGAGCACTTAAACACCGCATTTTGTTGCTGAACAACCCTGAATTTCTCTGTTACATTAGAATGAAAGCAAAGATTAAAAAAAGAGGTTCTATGAAGAAATTGATAAATAAGCTAAAAATTATTGCATAGTTTTTAGTGAGCACCGAAAGTTTTCAGAACTTTTGATAAAGAAAATCATAATAGATGTGTTTTCTCTCTTAGAAACCTTCCTGGGGCCTACTGTAATTGACATGAAAAGAGAAATATCCGGTTTTTGGATCAACTTTCTTCCTTTAATATAGAAACAGAGCTTGTAATTGCAAATAGGAATGATTAGATTAGGGAGAATTTTTGATTTACAGCGATTACTTACGTTATGTCACTTCCGCCACCGTGTAATTTCGGAAGCATTAGACCAGTGTACGTTGAGAAGAGACAATAGTTAGTGGCGTTTATTAATTCACAATTATTGTTATTTGGGTAAGTGGCTTTGTGTACTTAAAATTTGAATCTTCAAGAGGATGACGTGAAGGAGATCATGTGTAGAAGAAATGAGAGTCTATGGGTAATAGTGGGGCCAGCTGGAGAGGACAACAGAAAATAAAGCAAAGTGGAGATGTGTTGCTGAGGCACTATGTTCCACTCGGAATATGTAAGTGAGGCTATAAATTGTTTGATATTCTCCGAGCTTTATTATTTATGTATAATCCCAATCCAGGCATTAATGAAAACAAAACACGTCGATCAGTGAAGAGTCACTTTTCGGCGAATTCATTTTCTTAGCTGTACAATCGCAAATATATATGTGCTATTTTGTATGTATGTGTACATTAAGTTTGTCAAACAAAAATACAATTAGTTATAGTTATTTTAACTAAACAGGTGAAGATTGGTAATTGGAGTTACGTAATACAAAATCAGTCAAGAAAATAAGGTGTTATTGAAATTAGGGTAGTAACAAAGTTGATGAGTTGTCACAAACAGTTGTTAAAACAAGTTATGTAATAATATGAATAGTTTGATGAGTGAGTTTTACTCAGGATACACATAGGAACAAAGTAGATAATACGAAATTACGTAAGAGTTCTAAATGAATACAAGAATTGTAAGTAATTAAAGAACAGGTAAAGAAACAAAATTAAGTCATCAAAATCAAAAAATCAAATCAAATCAAGAAAGTTGTTACCAAGACAGTAGATGTGGTTGAGTAATCCTCTTTTGTATGCACAGCTCCGGTTTTTCTATGTAAATGGCCAGCGCTTCAGCGATACAAAGAAGACGAAACCGTATTGCCTTTGATAGGTTATTCTTGACTCTGTAGATTACCTTGAAGGAGGCGTTTGTTGAAATGGAATGATCAGTGTTAACCAGGTGTTCAATTATCGCACTGCTTATTGCACCACTATTGCCTTTTCTCAACCATGCTGGATAGTGTTCTTGAATCCTCTTGGACAGGGTGCGCGTCGAAAGACCAATATACCTGGCTCCACAGCAGCAGGTGAGCTGATATATGCACACAGAAGTGGTCAGATGCGGGATCCTGTCCTTGAGGCTTCTGCAGATCAGTGGGCGACTGGAGAACACTATTCTTAGCGTTGCCGCAAAGAATGTTCTTCTCAGAGATGATGTGATCCTTCTCTTGAGAATATCGCTTGCTAAATCTCCCTTGAAATCCAAGTTCATGTAGAGTTTCTTTTTAGGCGCAATTAAAGTTTCGTTTCTCCGAATTCTTGGTTTGATGTTTTTGTCGATGAATCTTATTGGGTATCCATTTTAGATGAAAATTTCTCTTGGAATATCTAATTGTTTCCAGAACGTTGGAACTTCAGATGCGTCGGATGCGGGTGGCAAGTGATTTAATTAAATTTCTCCGAAAAGAGACTCTTCGCTGATCTACGTGTTTTGTTTTCTTTAATATTTAGTCGACGAAGTTTCATTTGCCAGGCTTGGTGTTGAATATTCTTTATTACTGTTTTCTTTCATCTTGAAGACTGTCAAATCTTCTCATGAACTCATTATCCATTTATTCTGTTTTCTTCTTTCTAGATTGTTGGACATAAAGATCGTGGTCAACAGACTGAAACAATTCTACGATTACATTTTCAAAATCATTCATTTTCAAATGTTGAAGAAGAATTACCAGTTCCAGCTATTGTCTTTTTTGAAGCATTTCCTTTCAATTTTGTATTTAATCGTGGTATGAAATTATTAAATATTGGAAGAAGTATGGTGAATGCATTGCCCAATATAGTTGGCAGAAATGTTACAGAAATATTTGAATTATCCAGGCCTGTAATACCATTTACATGGGATGATGTGAGTTAAACTAGTCGGTACATATTGAATAGTTGCAATACCTTTATTGAATTTAATTTTGCTATTTTTAAAAAAAAATAATTTAATTCAGTGAAACAGAAGGCTGAATTAAGTTTCTAATGTCCAACTTTTTGTGAAATTATTGGGATCTTTTCGAGGATTGATTTTGTAGGGATTTCATTTGATTGGTTGGAGGATTTCATCATGAGCTGACATCAGTTAGAGAATGACTGGAAAACCTACAGGGAGTACTGGATAGCTGTTTCGTCCTGGTTTGAGACTCTTCAACAGTACGCACTGACCAAGATCTCTTTCGGAAACCAGAATGATCAGATGGCGAATTGGGATCCATTGGATACTTTGAATGAAGCTATTACCTGTCTGATTAATTACCCAGAGAGTTTTTGGGTAGTCTAAACAGATCCGGTTATGCGAGCTGAGTTATTCCACATGCACAACTCTTCAGAATGGCGTGTAAATAGTCATTCAGTGTTTCGGTGGCACAGCGGCTAGGACGCTCTCCGACCATGCACATGGTCCGGGGTTCGATCCCCGGCCGACGCACTCCTTTACCTCGCTAAGCCAGAAATAATGCTGGTGAAGAGGAAAGGTTGGGCATGAGGCTAGCAACCCCATCCTGTAAAATAAACACTGCTACAGAAACTTCAAGCCACTAGCTTGAAGCCCTATGTTCCACTGGGGAACGTGAAGGAAAAAAGAAGAAGTTTCGATCACCGTCTAAATATCAGATGCTACTTATTGATGTGGGTGGTTTCTAGTTAGTAATATGCTCTTTAGCAGGTACATCCCATGAATTCTGAAGAATTTTGATGATCCTCAGATAACTGCTAATTTCTGTCAATCAATATTATATTGTTATTCTCAAGGGTTCCAAGTGGAACATGGGCTTCAACTGACATCTCTACTTTGCCCTGTACTTTGCAGTAATCTTTATTCGGATCCACGGTTTCCTATAAGGCTGTCATCTCCTTCCGACAGGATCTCCTCTATGCCACCTTCAGATCAGCCTCCAAGTCATTTTTTCCCAATTTGGTTCCACTTGAGGCATTACTTGTCATGCTATGTCAAACAACGTTCTTCCCAACTTGTGTCCAAACCATCTCTATCGTCTTTGGAATATTTGTTGACAAAAGGTTCTTGGTTGGTTTGGTTCACAGAGTTTCTTGTTGCTAATTCTTTTTGGCTTGCCTTCTGATCTTCACCATGGATCTAGCGAAGGCTGCTGTTGATAAGGGTCTGAAACTTGTTGAAAATCCTGTTCGTGACTCTGGCTCAAAGTTTCTGTCCCACATAGAAGAAATGTCTGACTTAACAAACATTGGTGTTGAAAATCTAAATTCTTTTCTGCGTTCAAGTGTTGGTTTGTAGGGATTTGATTGGTTACAGGATTTTCATCATGAGCTGAAATTAGTTAGAGAACCATTGGAAAACCTGGGAGTACTGGACAGCTGCTTCGTCCTAGTTTGGTACTCTTCACAGTACTCACCCACCGGGATTCAAACACAGAAGGTCCTGGGTTCGAATCCCGGTGGGTGCGTACTGCTCTTTTCTGTGTATTGAGTTCAGAAGACTTCCAAACTGATTTCAGAGTCATGAATATCTAACTTGCTTTTCTGATTCTGTCTAGTTTTGTAATCGTCATCAGTGCTGCCGCCTGTAGTTGAAGGGATGACTCTTAGATAATTGAAGGAGGTGACCTCGTTCAAATTTGTTCCTCTAATAGTGAGTGGTGCTGGTCATTGTTGTTAGTTGGTTGGTTATCTCCATCACATCTATTTTCTTCATGTTCACTCAAAGTCCTGTCTTTGTAGCTTCTTACTTTCTGGAAAAGGAATCGAATTTTACCTAGTCTAAATCAAATGTTCTCATTAAGTCAAAGATTTACTAGGAATGGAGAGAAAGTGAAGAACTAATCGAACTTTTAGTTTATTGAATTAAACTTAGAAACAAAAATTCCACTGCCGCATTAGATACTCATACATGCAGTTGGTTGACCACTGAAGTTGTGATGCCTTTAAGGCATCAATTTGGAAGTTCTTATGAATTGTCTAACTAAATAAGTGAATTCCTATTACCGCCAGATGAAATTCTCTCAACAAAAATTTACTTTTAACGCACTTATTTGGTCTTATATCATATATCTTTAATATAAGCACTAGTGTTTAAGCTAGACGTTTGATTCCGTATTAATATCAGTTAGAGAATCATTGAAAACCAGTATTAAAGTACTGGATACCTGTTCCATCTTAGTTTGGGACTCTTCATTAGTACTCATCTACTGCATTTCTAACTGAGGATCCTTCCGGTTACGAGGCAAGCTCGGAGGCTATTCAGCCACTCGGACCCGACTCAAAGTCCCATGGATTCTAACCTCTACTAATTCGTGATTTTAGCGCAACCACCAGTCACTGTCATCAGTGTGGTGAGGATTTGCCCTCAAACCCTACATGGTAGAATTTAGGATTCATGGGCCATTGGGTCAGGTCGCAGCTTCCCTTGTAACCAGAAGGTCTTGAGTTCGGACCCTGACCGTTGGTGTGTACTGATGAGGGATCCCAAACTAGGACGAAACAGTTATCTAGTACTTCCTGGTTTTCGATGATACTGCGACTGATATCAATACGTGTTCAGACTTGAAGTAAATCGGATATCTTGTTCTTTGCCTCTTCAGTAATATTCAATAGAACTGGGTGCATTGTGTATTCAGGGAAATTTAGCCGAGTCAAATTAAATACTTCTGATTCCTTTAATTTAGGCAGTTAGTTTAGCAGTAAGTTGTGAAGGCAAATGGGTTTCAAATTCCGGTATTATGACATTCACTGAGATGAATGATTAAATGACGAAGCTTTCATCATCTATCTGAACAAATTCTTTAGGATGAACTTCAAGATAAGATGAGCTTCAGATATGAACTCTAAATCTCCATCATTTCAAAGTTGTGGAGTTGTTCAATAATTAAGTGCCTTATTGAGTGAATAACTAATCAAGTAGCTAGTTATGGTATCGGGAGGAGTTTTTTTTAAATGTGCCTAATGTGATTAAAGCTAAGCATCGGTCGTACCATTAAAAATAAATGACATGAGACAGCGTTATTATTCCCTTGGATTCTGAGTTGAACACAAAGCTCCAGTAGCACATTTCCACTTAATTTTGTTCTCTGTTTTCCTCGTTAGTTGTATCCATGTATTGCTCGTTGAAAAAGAGTTCATTATGATTTTACATTTAGTCGAAGGAGCCTAAGGTACTCGAAAATCGTTTATTGCCATATTTGAGGAGGTATTCTGCTGAAAGCTGTTAATAAAGGAGGTGCCTACAGTTCAATAACATAACTTTAGCTAATGTTTTTCGAATGGGTTCAGGTGTCTGTCATCAAAAATATGAGCAAGTTGGCTTAGAGAGGCACCGTTTACCATTCTTATAGCTGTTATAGTCCTTCATAAAATAGAATAGTTTCTTCTACAGCAGCTCAAAAAGAATGAGAGGTAGCAATAATAAAGAATAAGTTAACATACTGTCAAAGTTTACGGTTGAACACTAGTCAAGAACTAGTGTTATCTGTCTAGTCCTACCTTTGATTCAGACTGAATTCTATCAGTCAAGTTTACAATGTGGCCAACATACTAGGTGGCTCGCCATTATGGTGCAATGTGAACTGTTGGTATTAGATGGTTAGAGGCAATCAGCAGGAAATCCTTGACCTAGGTTTCATGCTAGTTGCCACTCCTCGGTCAGCAAGGCGTATCTACAATATTGAAGGAACTCATGTCCCTTCTGAGATTCAAACCCGTGTCACCTAGTGAGTGCTGCAGTCTAGGACGTTACCATTGAGTTGTTCGGGCTCGCGATTGACTTCCTGTAAGACTATATTGGATTTTTTTGACTGGACACTAGCCATAGATAGGACTAGGCAAATTACACTAGTTATTGACCAGTGTCAAATCAAAGTATCTAATACAGTCCTACGGGAGGTCAGTCGCGATCCTCGATAGCTCAGTGGCAGCGTCTCAGACTGTAGTACTCACTAGGTGACACGGGTTTGAATCTCAGAAGGGACATGAGCTTCTTCAGTGTTGCAGAGACGCCTTGCTGACCGAGGAGTGCCAACTAGCATGAAACCTAGGTCGAGGGTTTCCTGACGACTGTCTCTAACCATCTAGTACTGTCGAATTATCGACTGAGTTATACCGGATTATCTTATTTTAACTATATACAGTGTCATAGGAAATATTTTTCTAGGAATCATTTGAATGTAATGCCACCAAGAAAGATAAAAAGAAAATCCGAGTTCGACTTAGTCTCTAGTACAGTATCATCTATGCCACAAGAATATTTTGGGAACGAACCAGTTTATATAAGTCTTGTTTGCTCTTAAAAGTCTGCAATTTGGAAGAATATGACCTAAGACCATTTGATAAGGATAACTGGCTTATCATATTCACAATCTGCAGGTTAAAACAGTTCAAGGAGATGCGATTTCACCGTAGTTTCCCTGGGAAACCAAAATTATTCAGCTGACAATATTTGATCTGCCTGATACCATATTAAGTAATCAAGAAATCGAGCATACTTGCTTAAAACTGTATATTATTGACTGATTGATTGAGATGAATAGTTGTATACCACTCATATCAACCAGTAGCACTTGCCAGCCAGTTAGATCGAGGTGATCCAAACACCCGACAGCCATTTCGCTTGTATTAATGGCGAGCTCATCAATGGCGTACCCGGTTTGATAGCCAAATCACCTCAAACCAACCGATTTCTGGACGAAATAGTAACATCTTGAATGAAGTGTGACTGGTACACAACTACTCCTCTCAGTAAACCAGTAGTATACAGTTTTGCCCATTGTCTTATATTCTTTTTTTATTCCTTTACATTCCCAGTGGAACGTATGACTTCAAGCTAGAGTTTTGAATTTTCGGTGGCTGTGGTGTTTATTTTTTGACTGTATAGGGTTACTAGCCTCATGCCTAACT